TAGTAGTAGTAGAGTAGTAGAGTAGTAGTAGTAGTAGTACTAGTAGTAGTAGTGTAGAGTAGAGAGACGAGAGAGAGAGAGAGAGAGAGAGAGAGGGAGGAGGGAGGGAGGGAACTCGCACATGGCAACAGCAGCAGCAGCAGCAGTCGCGATGCTAGAGATGCGCTGTTACATCAACATTGTAGGTTTGAGTCTCTCAATGGCTTCTCACGTATTCTTGCTGCTGCCGGTGCTGCTGCTGCAGGGCGTGCATACACGTGGCGCCCCCGTAGCAGGGCTGCCGCTGGCGCACGCAGAAAGCATTTGTATTTAAACTCGTTTTCGGCACGACGTTTTGCTTTGCCTTCGCGCCGTTTCAGCGTTTGCAAAGTTTTATGATTTTTACATTTGAGGTACTTTTTTATCGTCGGTCGGTATTTTTTGTACGACCGGTCCGTTTGTAATCGTGTTCTTTTACGTTCGTCGTTTCTCGGGTGCGAGCGTGTGTGGCGCCATCTATTGCAGAATACTTGTGTACACGTATAACAACAGATATAGATAGTTATCGTGATGCATATATGAGAGCCTCGTAGCTGGTCGGCTAGGCATAGCCCTAGACGGCTGGGGAGAACGGCAACCGCGGGTTGGTATAGGCAAGAGCTAATAATACCTAGGTGTTATTAGATCATGATATAGGCAGGGATTAATAATGACAAATTTGTTATTATTAAATTCTTATTATTAATGACAAGTTTGTCATTATTAACCCCTGATATAGGTAATATAAGTTTAGGCATGTTTAAACTGTTTCGATTCTAATAATAAGCGAACCGTAGGAACAAATTAAAATAGGGTTCTTCTTACATTCACCCTTCTATTGACTGCATGCTGGCTGGGAGTGACTCGCAGTCAGATAGCTAAACCTGCTGTCTCTCTACCGTACTATTGTATATCTGCGTGTATGCCAACCACCTTAGTGCAGCTCTCACTAGGTGGAGCTACGTACATTATCACGCGTCTTGGAAGAAAAGATTTCCGCGTGTGTTTTAATCTTGTGTAAGTGCGGCAGGTTTGTATGCAACCCGTCGTCCGCACTGCTCTAAATCATGAAAGGCATGAATAAAAGTTAACTTTCAAACTGATTCGTCGCTGTAGTAGAAGGTCGATCGTCGGCATGCGACGACTTGTGTAGCATGTGTTCCGTCAGTGTTTTACTCATGGCTATATAACTATCGACTGTACGACATGCTTTACTTCTTTCTGCTGATGCAGCCTTGTATTTATAAGTGAACATACTGTAAAATAAACGTTTTAGGGGGAAAGACTCAGTGAAATGAAATGCACGTTGTTCTTATTTTGTTATCGACTGTAGCCTGCCCCCCGCCGCCTCGCGTCCGGTTGCCACCATGGCTCGGGTTCTCAGTCGTGTTCCGCGAAAGTGCAAGTGCGTTGGTAGGAATGTACCTGCTATGATCATGTCGCTATTTGCTGTCTGGAAAAACCCGATGAACTAGCGCAGTTTATGTTCTCTTGATGATATGCAAGTACACATGCGTCGTCAATGGAATCTGGGAAATGACACCTGAGTAGGAATCATGACGGCTGAACGGTGACGGGGGCGTGGGGAAAGCGGATGGGCGCAGAAAAAGTGGCCGGAAAGTACGTGAGCCGGAGTGGGAGGGAGTGGAGTAGGCGGGGCGTGGAAGGATGGTGCGTGTGGGGGAGGGATTAGTGGACGAAGGCTGGAGGTGGTAATTGCGTGTGGTGGGCGAGTACTGGAGGTGGGTAAGTAATGGTAGGTGGGTAGGTAAACTAGGCGAGATGAGTGAGTGTTGGTTGACGGAGGCTGCGTTAAAAAAAAACCCGGCGGTGGGATGTTAGTCGAGGTATGCTGTATAGTTCACAGTGTTCTACATCTATCTTATTCATTCACCGAGTCGCTGCACCTGCATTCCGACAAGACAGGTAATTCGGCACCACGACAAGATATAGCAGGCCGTAGATAAAGCATGGAGCCTAGATACCGAGGGATGGAGGGTGCACGCACCAGCATTCAGCTGTGTGAATATATACACCACTAACGAAATTTCTAGCAGCCCGAGAGAAAGCTCTGGTGTACCACGTGTTGTATTTATAATATGTAGCAAATAAGTCTTTACTGCTTCGAAACTGTTTTACTTTTAGTGTAAGAAATTAGTTATTTGAGTCGAGCAACTACTGTTCGCGGTCATGATTTCATTTGCGAATAATGAAAACGGCTTGCTTCCGCTGCACAGCTATTTGTTGCTGAAATATATTATATGTATGATAGGCATAAATTAACATTTTGTGCTTCGGGGTGGGGTAATATGTTTTAGCTGAAACACGGCCATTTGCCTGGATAAAGTTCACCGTGCTATCAATGCTTTTTTCTCTCCTCTTTCCGTCTGCCCCCTTTCACTCCCTTCCCCTCAGTATTCCCCTCCCCCTCTCGCGGATAGTATCGCCCGCGGCATCAGTTGCACGGTGAAAAGTTATCAGTCAATTGGCCGGTTTTCAGCATCATCTTTTTCACCCCCCAAAAGCACAAAATGTGGATATACGGCTATAATACGCGTTTTTACAGTCACACAAACACACATACACACACGCGACCAGACGCGCACACGCGGGTGTGGTCGCACGCACGCGTGCGCGTGTATTATAGGCGTAAATTCACATTTTGTGACTCGGGGAGTGAAAAAGTTTCGGCTGAAATACGGCCATTTACCTGCAAATGTTTTTCCATGCTTGACTGGTCATGGGCGATACCATCCGTGAGAGGGGAGTAAGGAAGTGAGGACTTGTGTAAAGGTAAACGTATTGCAAACATGTATGCAAAGAATGTCACGATTGTGTGAATAGCGTAGTGGTTAAACACTCTAGGCTGAAAGCTCTGAAGCCCGGCTTCGAATCCCAGTAACTTCTTTGCTGAAATATTGTATAAATTGCCATTTCTCCAGTATATAAGGAACATGTCGTTTTTCTATATTAGGGGCGCCTGTTAGCCCTGTGGGTAGCGCGTTAGTAAGTGGGTAGCGTCGTCCCGTGTTCTATCCCCGCACCAGTGGCTTGGCCGGCTACCAGTGGTTCACGGCAAAGTAGTGTCCTAGCACATTACCTTTTACTGAAAACTACGACGATTCGAAAAGGAATAGTGCCGCACGACTTCCAAACATCATATAACATAAACATAAACATCATATAACAAGAACCATCTAAATTTTATTTAACGTAGATTTATTATAAACCATATCACGAACGCGCATGCAACTGCGCATGCTCGTGGACTTATACTAATCACAAGATTATAAACTCAAATTACAAAATTGCACGGTTGCAAGTACATTTGACATAGATAATAGATAACAGCTAACTAGTGACAGCAGACGACGTACATAGTATTGTAGTACTGTTGTAAAATGACTTAGTTACTAATGGGACATTCTCTAATATTATACCAGTCTAAATAATCGGTATACGTCAGAACTCAGTACACCAGAACATGTGAAAATCGGGT